TCATAACATGAGCGTTATCAGAGAGTGAAAAACACAGTTGATCAGCTTGATATTTATCTGCGTGATTTCTCCTCAAATTTCTACTTAAGGGGGAGTAACCACCCCCCAAACCTTTCCTCAAATTATTAAAGAAGTGAAGAGTCTTCTTGAATGTTACTGAAAAAAGAAATAAACGATGTTCTATTCGGATTATCGGTTTGAAATGTAACGCAAACACAGATCCTTTATTGTTTTATTATTGTTTTATTACAGTGACTGTTTTGCGCGATTTTTTATAATATACATAATTCAAACACAGGATTAGTGTTAGTGCTACTGTTCCAACCTCTCTGTTTTTATTTTACTGGTGCGTGTCTTTTAACCTTATTTAGGGAATGAGAGATGACTGCACAAAGCGTCTATTCTCAATCATGTTTTTATTTTTTGCTCTCTTCTGTTCTTATTTGTTGAGATAAAAACATTTCCATAGCGACGCAGTTGAGTCAAGCTCAAAATATTTCTGTCAAGGTAAAAAGTCAAAACTATTCTTTACACACTTCATTTGAATTATGTATATTATAAAAAATAGCGCAAAACAGTCACTGTTGTAAGTTAGTCCCAATGGCTCATCATCACATGCATCAGATACATCCTCCAAAGTATCTGTGCATCTACTATGGTTATCCGTCGTTAGTCAATGACAGTCAAAGGGATTTAACATTGGCCAGTAACAATTTCAAGAAATTCGATCTGATTGTTTTCGGTAATGGTCTCTGGAAACCGACACACGATGACCATCAAAATACTCAAAAAATAATTCATCAACTTTCTGCTTTGGACAAACAAGTATTTGGTTACGTTGATTTGGGTGTATCGACGGAGAATTTGGCTGTTGAAGAAATGAAACACGCTGTTCACGGTTGGAAATCGATGGGTGCGAAAGGAATATTTTGGGATGATGCCGGTTTCGATTACCGTGTAACACGAGAACGACAATCACAAATGTTGGATTTTTGTCATGAATTAAATTTAGCATGTATTATGAATGCATGGAACCCGGATGATG